GTTCCTCATTATCTTTCCAGTGGTTCATTTCAGCATGTAAATGAGGGAAACAATGACTGTTCATTTATTCTCATTTTCTAGTGAACATGAATATGAATCCTGTCCCAAATATCACCAAAGTTCATGTGACAATTTCTTAATGATGGGAAGACTTGGGGAAAAAGAATGTGAGAGCCCTAAAGTAAGTGGTAACAGTTAAAAGTTATTTGTGGATGTAAAGAAGTTTAAAAGTAAAAAGGAAAATGCAAACTAAGGAAAGTGAAAGAAAAACAAAAGAACACACTTAGTTACATGCCAAGCACTTATCTGGGCAAGGAAAAAAAGAATTCTGGAGCTTGCCTATTAGTAACTCTTCTTCACCCACCATAATAAAAATAGTCACTTCCATCTGAGATACACCCATGTGACTTGTTCTGGGATACTGCATGCTCTGAACTACTACGTGAGCGGGGACTGTAGGGTTCTAAGTACTTCACTTTTTATCGTAAATCTGGCTCGTGAACACTATCATTCTTTTCCTTAAAGTCAAAAGGTCTTTTAATGAAAGTCCCTCTCCTAAACTAAATGTAGTCTAAAATTTGTCTGAATTCTGATTTTTTTTCCTCCAAAGTAATTCAAATGAAAAATGTAACATCTCCAAAGATTTCTCATCAGTAGTAGATAAAATACGTTGAATTTAAGCTACTGCTTTTTAAATGACAATATTCACTTGCACATATATACCATCACCTGTAGAGGGAGCTAATGCCTTTTTCCTCAAGCCCAGCCCAAAAGGCTGCATAGCTGGGATTTTAATTTTTCCCTATGCCTGTTAAGTGTGATTATTGATACAGTACTGAGCTCATCTCTGCACTTAGATTGAAGCCTTTAAACATATATGAGGTGGAACTGGGCTTTACAACAAAGACAAATCTAGTTTCCACTTTTAAAATAGTCTCTTGAGATTCCCAAAAGGTGGAGGATATATTTTAAAAGGCAAGAATTGTGTTTTGTATCAAAACACAATTTTTGGAGTCATACCAATTAGGAATCTACTCCCTGCAACCATAAATACCCCTTTCATAGACTATGGTGACCAGAGGCCACATCGGGCATGAAGTACTTAATATGTAGAGAATTTTTATGGTTAATAAATGCCACAATCTCAGCCTCTTTTCTTCTAGATGTTGGAAGGAAAAGGATAATTAAATGAACGTTTAGATCCCAAATAAAAAGTTAATATTCACGTTAAATAAAAATATAAGTGAATTTATTTAATAGAAGTTTTCATAATGAGTCTAAAATACTTCATTAAGCATTTCTAGATTAAACTATGTAAAGCTCTTTATAAGCTTTTGTTAATAAATTAAATACCATTTCCCTATAAGTATACCATCCATTAAGCTTTCCTGTTAGAGTTTTCAGGAAACATTTCAAATAAAGTAGCCCGGTATATCTCATTTGAGATGAATGAGATCATTAGGAAACACTTATATCTGAAATAAGCACTCATTCTGCATACAACCTAAGGGCCTTAATTTTTAAAATATTTCCAACAGTGTGCCCCTTTCAAATCATTAGAGTTAGAGACATTTAAGGAACTAATTCAATTAACCCAGAAGAGAAAAATGCTATAATGCGTGATTTATTTTTGTGGATAAATTAAAATGCAAGTGTATCTGTTAGAAGAGGTAGGCTGTCATCATGGTTAGTAATGGGAATGGGAAAGCAATTAAGCAGGGCCACCTGAGGCTGAAATAGCCCCTGAAAATGGAAGCTTGAAGTTCAAGCTGGACATTCAGTTACTGTCAAAACCCAAAGTGTTGCTTTGTTGGGGGAGAACCTTTGTGCTCCATTCAGTTTCCTTCATTGATTTCTAAAACATGTTTCTCGATTTAACAAATACTTTCGGCCTTAACTGAAAACTAAAAAGAAGCCTAAATTGCTATGGTTTCATACCTCAAAGTCAAACTTCACATAAAGTTGATGTCTTAAAATTACAATTTTGCATTCTATTATTTAGGTGGGGAAATATGAGGCAAGAATTTATTTTTCTCCTCTACAACTCCAGGATATTGGCTCCACCAGGCCTAATAAATTGTTTTCACAAGGAAATAAATAGAGCATGCTGTAGCTTATATTCTCTTGCACAGGGAGTTTTAAACAATATGTATCCTAAACAATAAATAATTGCAGATGGGGGAGGGTAGAAGAGGGAAACGTTATAAGGGTGGGAAAAAATGTTTCTTGACCAAATCAGGAAAAAGACTGAATTTCAAAATGTTAGAAATTTGAAGTTAGTTCTGAGGAAGACAGCCACTTTAGCCATTTTGAAATCTATAGAGGGAACAAGAAGATAATAAAACAAGATAATAAAAGAAAAAATGAGGAGGAAAGAAGAGATGTTAAGGCAGCATTAAAAGTAACAGCAGACTAAAGTTCTATGGACAGAAACCAAGAAGACATATACTGACAAAGTAGTTATAATTCACTGTTCTCCGCTTAATCTTAGCCCCCAACTTGAATTAAGGAGCTTGGGCCCAAAATGGCTGCAATCATGAGCTGAAGATAGGGAGAAAACTTTTTTTCAGAGAATGATTATATGAAGAAATAAATGCTTAAAAATCCATGAACAGAAATGTTTATAGTAAAAGATAGGGAAAAGCAAAATAAAATCTAAGATCAGGAAAAGAAAATGTTGCTTAATCAGAGCGCATAGGAAAGTAGTCAGGAGAAGTAGTCGATAGGGCCATAGAGAATGTTTTGTCTTTTGTTCAAATCACTCAACAAAAATTCTTATTAAATAGTTACTATGTGCTTCATGCTGTTAAGAATTGAGGGAAGGCACAAGAGGGAAGACAAGTCCCTGTGCTGATCACTTTACCATCTAGTTGGAGAGCAAGGCTCACACAAAAGAAGCCATCAGGGAACAATTCAAATCAGTCTGCCATCTGTCACTGTACTAGACATTTTGGAGATGTGCATGAGAAGAAGCTAAGGAATCCTCCTCCTGTCTGGAGAAGAAGGGAATGTCTTTATTTGCTCTACCTTGCTGTGTAACAAATGTTAATAATCCCATTATGCTGTTTCTTCTTTGGGGGAGACTTTCCCACCATGGTGATAGAACTGGAGTTCGCAAGCAAGATGTGGGTCAATGGTGAACAACCCCATCTTATGCTTTGAGAAAAATATAAAGCAATGGTTTCTAGTTTGCGATAGTGTTTCCTGTCAATATTCATTTTAGTAGTTTAATTTATGAAGATTTTCCTTTTCTCTTTCTCTAAATCTTTTGATGGCTTCTCATTATCTCAGGAATTAAGGTCCTTATAACCTTGAGTTAACTGCCTTGCCCACCTTACTGCTGCTCCTCCAGCCATATTAATGTCCCCTAAAATAGTGGTGCCCAACCTTTTTGGCACCAGGGATCAGTATGCCTATGAGAATCTAATGCCTGCTGATCTGAGGTGGAGCTGAGGCGGTGATGTTAGCACTGAGGAGTGGCTGCAAATACATCCCTTCCCGTGGTCACTCGCCCACCGCTTACCTCCTACTGTGTGGCCCGGTTCCTAGCAGGCCACAGACTGGTACCGGTCTGCGGTCTTAGGGTTGGGGACCCCTGCCCTGAAAGATATTCTCATATCTCTAAGCCTTTGCTCTTGTGGAGTCTTCTGCCTACACTCTCCCTCCTCCCTTATTGAAGCCACATCTCTCCTTTAAGGCCCAACTCAAAGGTGTAGTACCAACTCTTTGGTGTAGTACCACCAGGTCATGTTGCTAATGCTCTCTTGTAACTTTTCCCCATAGTCTCTCATAGTCAATGAACTACTTCTTCCGGGGGAAGGGTGTCAAGCTCACTGAAGGCAAGGGCTGTCCCTCTTGTTTGTAACCCAGCCTCTAGCACATTGCCATGCATTGGAAGGTGCTCAAAACATGTTTGCAGAATTGTTCTACCAGCATCATTGGTTTTCCTTGTTGCTACCTTCTCCCTCTCTCCCCAACTAATTCCAAGACCTTACCTTTTTATTCCTCAGTTTTATCTCTAACCCTCTAAGGCTTTAATAAAAGTCTATCTCAGGAACATACACTGTTAGTAAGGCACAATTTTGGGCTATAGAGATCTCTCGTGAATTGAAACCATCTAAGCTAAGGCCCCTAAGTTTCTCCATGAAAATAATTTGCTCAGGTAACTTTGGGTAGATACTTCAGAGTCTGAAATGCTGGAAGTTATTTCTATATACCTAATACTAAAATGAAATATTTTTATCTTTTTCTATTGTTGTTTAACATCAAGCACTAAGCATTAGGCAATTTTATTTACTGAAAGTATGTATCTAGGGCAAGATCCCTTCTGGCTGTCACTTCACATCCGAAGAAATAGGGTTCTAAGGTCTCTGAAAATGGCACTTCAGGCAAGAATCAGTAGGACTCTGTCAGGCCTACATTGGGAGTGAGGAGGAGAAGTGATCTACAAATGTCTTTTTATTTGGACCCTAGATTTAGCCCACTGAGCCCAAAGCTTATTCTATTATGGGGTCCCTGAGTTCTTGACATACGCTTACAAACTAAAAGAAGGCCAGTAGAGCTATGGAAACACTTAAATTAGGGGGTATAGATATGAAAGCCCAACCCCAAAGGGGCAGTTAAGTGAGGAGCCCAATGTCTGGTGGGATGGTAGCTGTTAGCATAAAGAACAGAAAAGCAAAACAAGTACCTTCGTGTGTTTGGGAGTAAAGGCTAGAAGAAGGGATCCGAAACCAGGGAGGGGGCAAATAAAACCTCCACCTCCGAAGAGCAATGAGGACCAAGACCTGCTTACCTCGGGCGCAGCCCAGACCGCCCTGGGCGGTCCCGGCCGGCAGAGGGCAGCAGCTGGGTGGGAGAAGCCTGCCGAGGGCCGCGCGGCGTCGACCGGCTCGCGGGGCACTCGTTTTGAGTGTGGGGCGAAGGACTCGCACTCATCACTACCCGTCCCCGACCCTGCGGCCACGGCGAACCTCTGACTGCGTTGCGGGGCGTGGGTGTGTGCGGGGGTCGCTGCGGAGAGCCCTACGTCCCTGCTCCTGAAAGAATAGCGGAGGGCGCCCCTGTCCATGTCCTACGACTCCCGGGCCTCCGGGAGTAAAGGGGAGCCAGAGTCCGGAGGGCCCTGGGACGCGGGTAGGAGGGGATTTCCGCGTCCGCTGCAGCGTCGCTGCCCTGTCCTCAGGGGGGCCACCTCTTCGCCCCGGGAGTCGCTCTCCGGGCCCCGGGCTTTTCCCGCTCTCGGGCTGCGTCAGCGCCCGGCCGCTCGGGGTCCCAGTCCCTTCCCGCTAGGCTTCCGGGGCCCCGACCAACGTCCGTTATCTGCCAAAGTGCGCCTCCCGCCGCCGCTGACCCGGCCTGAGTGCAGCCGGTCGAGCCGCCGAGCCCCGCGCGGCCGGGGCGCAGATTCGCGCTCCCGCCGTCGAGGACAGCGGCGTGGGCGTGGGCCGGTTCCCGCCACCGGGCAGAGGGGGCGCCGGACGCACTTGACCGTGGGCTCCGAGCGCCTGGGAGTGTGGCGCGGGCGGCGGGTTTATGTAAATCCGGGCTGCGCCGGGGCGCCCTAGGTAGGATGGACCAGCCCCCGCGCCTCGGCCCTTACGTCCAATAAGAAGAGCCCCAGCTTGACACCTGCCTATATACAGGCGAGCGCGCCCCCGGGCCGCGGACCGCGCACACAGCCCGCACAGCCCACGCCGCGGGCCAGCGACACCCGGGCCCGCCACCATGACTTCCAGCAAGATCGAGATGCCAGGCGAGGTGAAGGCCGACCCCGCCGCCCTCATGGCTTCCCTGCACCTCTTGCCGTTGCCCACGCCCAACCTCGAGATCAAGTACACCAAGGTAAGCGGCCGGCGAGGACTGGCCGTCCACAGAGACTTTCTAGAACCTTCCTCACCTCCTTTCCTTGCTCTGTTAGGGGGCGAGGACGGCGTGACGGGATCGGGGTCGGGGTTGCAGGGGCCAGCTTGTCATCCCCGCGCCGCAGAGGGGACGCCCTGTCCTCGGGGTCGGGGCTTCTGAAGTCCTGCCGGGGACTTGGGATACCTCGGGGACTCACTGCAACCTGAAGCGCGGCGCAAAGAGGTCGCCGTCAACTGCTCCTTCCCCAAACCGCATCTGTCGCTGCCTTCAGATCCCATTCCCGGGGTCCCGGACGCTGCGGGGAAGGCGTCGGCACCGCTTCGGCTCCTCGAATGGGGAGGAAGGGTGTCCCGCCTGGTTGGCCACGCAGCCTGGCCATCTCCTCTTCTCAGCCCTCCGCCTTCAGCGGCCGCTCAGCCGCAGGTCCCGCTCGGGTCCTCGGAAGCCCGGACGGAGCGGAGCGGCTTTCGCGTAGGAATTGTCAAGACGTGCCGCGCTCTGGGCTGTCGTTACGGATTTCATGGAAACTGGCTGCTGGGTACCAGTAGATCCAATGTCAGCATTGCATTTGAATTTTGTAGGCAGTGGCAATTTTCTTGGAAAACTTGGAAAATCTTAATTTGTGCAGATTAACGGGTTCGCTTTTGAACTGAAAAAATTATTCTTTATAACGAATTCTGACATCTTGGGTTTGCCAGGCAGGAATTTTGTTGTTGTTGTTGTACCACATTTGAAAGAATATGCGTTCGCTACCTAATATAAATTGAATTTGCTTTCTTTCCATAAATTCGACATAGAAAAATTTATTAAATACGCACATGAGGGGTTATAATGTTACTGCATTTGGGCAGAGGGAGAGGTGGGATTTAAAGTCATGTTTCTCAGTTCATTTTACATTTTTCTTTTTTGAATTTCTATCTCTTTCAGTGGATTTCTACCCTAAACTTCTCCCGATTAGGCTTAAACACACACTGAGCACAGATAATATGGTAAAAGTTGTTTTCCATCATGCTTATTACAAGGTAAACTTAATTTTGTCGAGAAGTGAATTGTTTGGTTTTGGCTTAATGGTTGAAAGAAATGCAGAAAAACAACATGAGAATACTGAAATTTTACTTGCGTTGAGTTTTACGATACAAACAAGGTGATAAGCGTTTTGAGTGCAGCTTTAGATGGATTTCATGTACCTGTTAGCTTTTTTAGATGGATTTCACGTACCTGTTAGCTTTTTTAGATAGTGTGCCAAATTTTTGAAAGCCATCTTAATGAGAGGTAGTTAATAGTTACAGCTGTTTAGGCATTGTTTGTGTAACAATAATGCCAATGTGTGGAATATCTTCACTTTTAGGAACAAGCGGGGAAAGGCTGTAGCATAAAAGTTTTGTTTTATGAGAGTTCCTAACCTCTTTAGACTCTTTAAAGGTCTTAAGGTACAAGATCTACATGTGAGAGAGGACCTAACCCTCAGATTGGGAAAGGTTTGATTTTAGCCTTACTTTTAATGGGATTTTCCTCACTGCCCTGGACGGAGTTTTAGGTATGCAGCAGGCATCTAGGAATTTAATTTGGAGGCTCTTCCAGTTCTCTTTTTGTCTAACTACCCCATTCTCTTTTTTTCTCTTCTTCTACCCCAGTAGGAAAGACAACTGATTTATAGCTAATTGAATCCTTTAATGTGGGGTCTTTACGTTCAGGGGAGACTTTTATCCAGTATCCACTTTCCCACTTATTACAAAGAAAAACAATCAGAAATGAAATAATGGATTGTAACTTGATTCTTTAATTTGTGGGGAGGAGGCACCTTATTTTTGGCTTGACAAACAACCCTCATAAACACTAATACTAATCTACAAGCAACCTCTTTTCACAAAACCTTGTAAAATCAGGTATCTTTGAACATTGCTAGCAGCTTTCTTCCTCAGCTCTTTAGTGAAACTTGAAAATTCTCTGAGACAAACGTTGTGGGCAAGCAGCTTTTTTAACACAAAGAGTAGAAGCTGCTCTTTTAGTAGCTGAGGGTAACGACTAATATGCTATTTTACTTAAAAGAAAATTAAGATCGATGAAGAGTTTTTAAAAACTCACTTATGATCAGAAGTGAGGGAAATTATATTAACAATTTTAAGCAGAAGAATGAACAAGGTAGAATGGACAATTCTTTAGGACAGTGATACTACATTCACTAGGAATTTCTAAAAGGGTAATGGCTGAACAATTATAATGCAGGAGGGCTTGTTAAATAACACATAGGAAACAACAGTATTTGTGTCAGAAAATGGTACAAGACAAACAGATAGATCCTTAATCATTTTTGTCTTGTTAAATGAATACGTGGTGAAGGCTATTGCGATAGGATTTTTAAATCTGATTTTAGGACCAACGTAAATAAAGTCACTACTAATGTTTAAATGGTCCGATTATGAAAATGTCAAGTAGCATACACTTAGAAAACTTTGCCCTGTGATGTTGTAATTTTCTGTAATTTTTCACTATTTGTTTTCTTCTCCTAAAAGTATTTTACATTTTTTTCAATAAAAGAGGAATGGGGGAGATCATTAGAAATAAAAGTTATTGCCTTTTCTGTCAGAGATCCAGTGAAAATGCTCCAAAATTAAAGTTCAATCCCCAAGGATGTTGAAGTGGCTAAAATCATGGTTTTGTTCATATTGACTTTCAGGCAATTACGTTTAGTGTTTCAGATAAGCCTACCTCTCTGAAGGTCCAGTACCCATTTTAGACTAAGATCAATGACAATACTGTCTTTGGAATATGTCTGTCTTTATTTCCCTAATACAGCAAGGTAGACCCCCAAGTTTTAAAAATGAATCCTTATTAAAGAATATGTTAAACAAACAAAAAAGACTTCATTAGTCAAGAAACAGTAATAACTTCACCAATATGAAATAGTGAGGGGACTACTTTTGGGACATAGAGAATGTATACTCTGTAGCTTGTATCCTGAGAATGCTTAACAGCTAGCATAGGAGTCTGATTGCTTTTAGCTATGCTTTTATGAACTAAAGATTTTCTGAGTTGTTTCTGTTTTACCAGTCTGGTTTTTAGAATTTTTGTATAGCTGATTATATTATAGGAGTACACACATTGTAAAATCAAGGCTAGTAGTTTACTGACTGCCCGTAACTACAGGGGAGATTACTTCCAGATTCTCAGGTCTTTGGAGACTGTCCGGCTTTATCCCACCCCTACCTTCTCTATTGTCTCTATCATCAATTCTGGCTCTGTCCCCCCACATCCCCACTACACACACATTGTGCTCTTTCTCTGTTGATCACTTTTCCAGTGAGAGTTTATGCCCATAACTAACAGTAACATAAAGTGTTTATGTTTTTCTCCAGCATCTGATTCTGTGGGGAGCTAGAACAGAGGGAAGAAGGAGACATTTATGGGATATTGACCTACTAAACTTGAAGAGAAAAAATAAAAGGCAATCAATTGATAATCAGAGCTAATGTGCTCTGGGTAACTACGATTTATTCTTTTATTTATTCATTAAACAACTTTTTATTGAACATCTGTTTTCTGGGGTCAATTTTAATTCATTTCAAAGGATTTTTGAGTGGCCATGTTCCTAACAACTGTGCTTTCCATTATGCTATTTGGGCTGTGGAAGCATCCGCCTTCTAGGAGCTTAAGATCTTATTAGAAAGATTGAGTGCCAGAAATTGGTTGTCAGGTGATCAATGGCGGTAGTTCAGTTTGATCAACGTAAAAATAACAATAATGATAACAATACTTACAGTGCTACCTACATTGTTTATAGAGCCTAACGGTTTACCTAGCACTTTCATATATCTTATTTGATCCTTGCAAAACATTTTGAAGGAGAAAGAGTGGGAAGAAATTGGAATAATTGATAAGGAAGATCTTGGCCTTGATTTTTAAAAAATTTCTAGAGCTTTCCTCATCGTATGCTTTGCTTTTCCTAACAGTCAAATGCTGTGTGTGTGTGTGTGTGTGTGTGTGTGTGTGTGTGTGTGAGAGTGAAGAGAGAGAGAGAGAGAGAGAGAGAGAGAGAGAGAGAAAGGGAGAGAGAGAGATTAAATCTTTATTTTTTCGTGTTGCTTCTATTGTGACTCTGACGAAAGAGCCACCTTCTGTGGCGTTTGATTCCTTGACTTTAAATTGCTATTTTTGTTGTTTCAATGAGGGTTTTTTGTTTGTTTGTTTGTTTGTTTGTTTAGGTCTGCAGCAATATTCTTGCCTATTCCGGGGATCAATCTTAAAAGATGATGTGGGTCTAGTTGTTTCCAAGCTTCTATTCAGATTATCTGCTTAATCAGAAATTGTTAATCAAACTTCATATTCATAGGCAACCTCGGGTTTTCAAAAAAAAAAAAAATTCTTCATAATTGTACAGCTTTTGATGTTTATATTTCCATTTAACCCAGGGAAGCTAAACAATTTCATTCTAAGACTTGAATTAGAGAATCTTCCTGGGGTCCTGCCCTGACACCTTCTACCGCAGGGGCATATGTTACCAAATGGAATCATCATTTGCTGAGGCTCTTCTGTTCCTTATTTCTATAAAGTGAGGAATGATTGTTTTTTTTTTTTTTTCTTTTAACTGAAAGTGGAAGATTCTCTGAGAAGTCTGTTCTGTGAGGTCTGACTTCCTTGTAGCCAGACTTTAGTGAAGCCAGACATGCAGTTAGTTCTCTGTTACATTAGACAAGCACGATGATCAAACCATGACCAAACCAAAAACATCTCAAATATCAACATACACATCTCTTTCAAGTCAGTTTCTCAGTTGGATAATGAAATACAAATACTGATGTATATTTTTGTCTTTTTAGTCATCTTAGTGACAGCTTGCAAGGGTCAGCAAACTCAGACTGTCAGCCTGATTTTGCAAATAAAGTTTTATTGGAACACAGCAATATCCATTCAGTTACATATTGTTTGTGGCTGCTTTTGGACTACAGTGGCCAAGTCAAGTAATTGCACAGAGACTGTAT